CTGTCGACCGATGCAATCGAAGCAACAATACTTCCAATTGTTAATACTTCCGCGCGGGTTACTACTTGGCACTAAATAAATATCGATTTCGGTTGACCACTCTTTTGGTTAAATCGCAGGGAAACGATTTACATATATCATTGCTACGTTAGATCTTGGCGTTGCTTCGGCACTCATCGGCATCTTAGCGGCAAAGAAGAGATCAGTCGCGTTATTTGAGTATTCCAATTTCGTTTTATCTTTATTCAATCTTTCTTTAAAATTAGTATCCAGATCTGTTTCTCACGGAGATTGAAACCAGATTCGCAGATCGAACGCAAGCGCAGAGGCGGGGAACCCATCACTAGCGCGAAAATCCCTGCAACAGAGCGCATAAATCAAGGTAATTATGTTTCCTACGTGTTAATCAATGTGACAGAATTCGACGATTGTAACGTTTGAAATACATGTAATACACACAATTTTCATAGAAATTGTTGCAGATAGATTACATCGCAGATAATTTTTCCTAAACGTTAAAGTGTTGTTATAAAGAATTTACGATAAAATTATCGTTGTTATCAGCTTTTACAACAATTCGATCGTTTTAGGACACCGACAGACGCCAAAGTTTCATACAGTGGGAACGTGGAACGTTAAGCTACGTCGTCGAATAGAAAATGAGTAGCACCGATGACAGTAGTAGTACACCGTGTTCTATTCCGGATTACAAGCCGTCGGGCTCCGATGAGGATAATTCATTGGTATTGAACCTTCCAGGAATGAATTCGCCTGAAAAAATTGTATTTGTAATTGACACGGTAAGAGAGAGAAATTGTACTCCTTTTAAATTTTCAACAGGAGACAATTTTATGCCTCTGTTCATGATAAAACGGATCATAGAAAATTTTATTTGTGCAAAATCCATCATCCAACGCAGTCACGAGTACGCATTAATGACATTGAACTCTCACAGTGCTCAGTGGATTTGTGATTTCACCAATAACAACAATAGCATTGTTAATTATTTGAATTTGGTTAACGAGGATATCCTAGAAGAAGATCAAACGTCGTACGATCTAGGACAAATGTTCGATAAAATACGCGAAAAATTACCTTTACCAGCAAAGAAAGACGACACCATTATTCCAACATTTGTCGTCAGAGTAATCTTGATGTATTCACGTTCCAATAGTATACCAAAATTCCATACCGCAAAATATTCTCTGGATATTCTTACAAAGAGTCCGTACTTTTTCATAGATGCATTGTACGTGCACGAGCCCCCTTCTTCTGAAAATTTATGCGAAGAAATTTATGCAGAGATAGCAACGTTGAATACGGCAAATTTGTCATACATACTGGAAGTAGGAAGAAACGCAATAAAACTGCACGATAACATGGCTAAGTTACTAGCACATCCTCTCCAAAGGCCACCTCAAAAAGACGTATGCTACGCTATTTGTCCGATATTTGGTTTTATAGAAACCAATAATAGCGTTTAATCGCGTGTAACCTTTGCGCTTTGTAAATTGCAAAAATTAATTAACATAAGAGCAACGCAGGCAATATTTGTATTTGTACAGTGTGGTGGCGGTCGCGCCAAACGAACATCGAAAGATTTTGGCGTCGTTTTTAAAACAAACGACAATACGTCGGAAAGTTATCAGCGTGTCTCGATACCCTATAACGAAGCTAATTGCAGCAGAGGTTGGCGAAATGTGGGGAATTCAATAGCCATTGGAGGACACCTTGCTCTAACACGGGGAAGCCTCTAATAACAATTCAAACATGTGTAACAGACTCGCATGTTTATACCGAAATTTATATACACAGAGTAGAGTTGAACATGAAAATACTTTTCTCTACAGGTAAATACAATTAAAGTTGTCTCCTTACCTGTCATCGTATACACAAAAGAGATCGCAGTACGTCGAGATATACATATGTACATAATATCTATGCAAAAAATTGATTTCGGTAATCAATTTGTAAAAAGCAAAATTCATCTAATTCAACAATGCGCGTAAAATTTTGCGTAAAATTGTACAATTGTGTAGAAAATAATGTAACGATATATCAACGAACTATTCTTTCGGTTCGTGTATCATCGATTTGTAGGAACCACCATAATAAAATGTGTACCGATTATTGCGGTACAATCGTCGATTATACGTCGACTTTTTTCGATCCATTTTGTGACCTTTCGTTGCGTAATAAAACGTAACGTAACGTAGCTAACAACAAGTTTAATATTAATCTTTACACAAGTGTTAACATAATTGTCATGTTAACAATTAACATGTTATCATTTATCAACTATAACGAAAGGATTAATCAATTTTTACAAACGACTGGATTATCATCCTTCTTTTCCTCTATACGAATAATCGACGAACGATGGCAACGGAAGAGCACAAAGAAAGTAAAAACGAATACGAAGCGACTAAGGTATTCGACGAAGATGAAATTCGCAATGTCCTTAGAACTTGCGGTAACAATTTAACGAGTAGTTGTACACTGGTTTCGGTAAGTCGGTCCATCGAAACGTTCGAAATTTGATCGATCGTGTTTTCAAATACAGTGTGCGAAGATGCGCTTGCTGTATTTTCAGTGTGTCGCACGTTTTCGGGTTGCCAATTACCACACGTTGGAAAGTTACGCGGTACCGGTAACATATCCTCGTGTTCGCCAACTTTGAAGACCAACGACATTCCGACTTCCGCGTGAAATTCAATGTGACAATGAAACAACCAGTAACCTGTAAAAATACGTTTAAATAATACGGTCGTTCGATGGATAAAATTTTTTCGTAGAAAAGGCACCTGGATTGTCGGCATAAAATCGCACAACAGTGTAACCTCCGTCCGGTACCGTAACAGTGTCTTTCAGAGGAGCACGATCAAGGTTTCTACGTATTGCTCCATTTTTATCCAGTGCTTGAACTTGTTCGGTGGTGACGTTTTTCCCGACTTTTTCCATCGCGATCACGCGAAACTGATATCCATGGAGATGAAACGGGTGATTCGCGTCATAGGCGAAACCTAGAGATAATAACGTAAATAACGGAACCATGTACTTGTACGCGATACATATGTATGCAAACCTTCGTCTACCAAGACCATCTCCACCACGCTACCAAGCTTCACTCGAAGGACATGAGTGCAAGCGCAGTAGTCTTGGTCACAACCCATGACGGTACTCGCATTACAAAATTGATTCTGATCTATGAAATCTCTTTGAGATAACAGCGGAGCGGATGGTAACTTCATCGAAATGTGGTTTAATTGAGGAGTAAGCACCCGTTTGGTATTTTTTACTGGAACAAAAAGCACGAATCGAATCGAAAATGAAAAGAGAGCGACCATCACCAGAGAGAAGATAGAAGACAACAGAGTGTGTACCACAGTAAGTACCTTGGTTAAATCCGTAAAGATAACCGCGATGAAAATGAGGATTGTCCTTCTTATAAAAATCATAAGATACATAAAATTGGTAATCCGGATCCACGGTATTCGATTCGTCGTTCTCATCCATGGCTTTCAACAAAGGTATACTGAGACTTTCGTTCGTCTCCGTGCCTTCGTTTAACGCGTTTACTCGCTGAAAGAGTACGAAACAAAAGATAACGAAAACGACGGCTGCACAACGTTCTGTGTATTACTGCGCGCGCGCGCGCGCGCGCGCGCACGCCACGCACACACACACACACACACACACACACACACACACACACACACACCTGACCCAAGGAATCGTTCGACGAGAAGGCACGTTCGTACGTGACTACGCCACTCGGATCTTCTTCGAGCGCACCATCGTATCGCAATATAGCAACTTGATACGCCTTGGTGAATCTTTCGTCGCAATCCATCAACCCCCGAAATCGAATCCAATAGTTGTCCACATTTCGATTCGTTTCGACGACAAAGTCGAATCTTTCGCCAGCGTAACTCACCAAAGATTTCGCTACGATCGTACGAAAAAAAAAAAAAAAACGAAATCATTTACATACATATTGTGGCAACCTGACCATACACGTACTTACCTTCGACAGGTTCGATATCACGTCCATCCGTACTAATTATACGCATAGTATGATCGTCGATGGACAATTCGATCGGACAATTGAGAAACTCGGCGTTAACGAGCCTGAATCTGTACCTTGTATCCTGCAAAAGTATTCAAGAAATCACACACACACACATGTAGAGAAGGGTTCGTCGGTTACTCACCTCCTTGGCGGAGGATCGAAATATTAGGAATTGTTCGTTTCATTAACGTTACCCGCTTAACGATAAACGTCGCGATCGGCATTACAGCGGACGTGTCACCGTCGTAACGGCCGAAACCATTGATCAGTAGATTAGGCGGTTTGTTGTCTCCGCCTGCGTGATGATGACTTAAAAATTTATCAATTCCCAATTCGTGCGTCCAATCCGAAATCAGGATAGTATGTTCATCGATATCGTATAAATCGTAGTGCCAATTCACCTTTGGAGGCACGCGTATGATCAACGCACCGTATACTCCATCGCCTCGTTGGAAGCCTAAAAGACAAAGTTGCACCGGCCGATTTTTTCAATTCTCTCTCTCTCTCTCTCTCTCTCTCTCTCTCTCTCTGTCGCACCTAAATGAGAATGCCAGAAATGCGTGCCGGCTTCAGTGGCGGTGTAGTCATACCGAAAACTGGACCCTGGCAAAATCGGACATTGCGATACGTAAGGTACGCCGTCCATGTACGGCGTTTTAACGTGATGTTGACCATGCCAATGCATCGTGGTACTCTCGGAATGCAACAAATTGATTACATCGACGATTACCCTGTCACCTTGACACACCTACAAGTCGGTAGTAGAACTTGATTGATAAATTTATCGGTAAATCGGAACAAAACAGCCGCGGTCGGCAGATCCGTTAGTCGATATCATCGATATCACGAGAGATAGTAGTATACAGGCTTGGACGCGCGTGAATCACGCGGGGCAGAATAAAATGATTTTCACGCGAACGAGATACCGTTGTACGCGATTGCAGCAAGGCCTTGGCGTACACTTCTATGCAATCATTAGACGCTAGAAGGAAGAAGTAGTGTATCCGTATACGACAAGTCCTATCCTTATTATATTTATCATACATATATATACATATATGTGTGTATACCTCGATAGGCGGTCCAGGCATTTGCCGATTAACCACTAAAATCGATCTTTCGATACCATCTGCTGGAATACAATGTTCGCGAAAGCAGTCTGTGATGTTGAACGGGCAATCGTAGCATGCTTTACTCATTGTGTAATAGGCCTCTAACCTAAAGACATAACGACATTCCATCGGTGCTGTTTCGTCTTTGCAACTTCGTCGACAAGGATGTTTCATCCAGTTCAATTCATCCGCTACCTCGGGATCGACGTGCCGCCCGAAGTCCAAGTCATTATGCGCCGTTACGATGGTTTCTAACAATAGCAACATCATTATCATCGCCGTTGTTATTTGGACAAAAATTTGGACGTTTTTGCCTTTGAACGTCTACTATTCTGGTAATTCGTCGCGTTAGTAATTTCTAAATAGCGAAAGTGTTCTTTCCATTTCCACTCACCCGACGCGCAACAACTGTGGTGGAGCAATAAAGGAAGAAACAGAATCACTTTGCAGTATGTCATTCTGGATCTGCAAATTGACAGAGCTGTAAAATATTACATCGATCGAAATCAACGTCCACGCCACTCGACGCTTAATTAATACCGTTGTACTTGAAATTGTGTAAACATCGCGTAGACAGTGCTATCGACGATAGGCAAATAAGATGTGACATTTCACGTTATCTAATCTCTGGATATCGTGAGAAAGTTAAGTAAGTCTCGTTATCGTAATAACTTGTCAAATATCAACCACACCTTTCGTTTTCTATACATTTTTTTTATTTGCGAAAACTCACGCCAGACGGTAATTTCGAATCTTCTTCTGCTCTTTCTTCCACCTCTATCTCGTCTTCCAATCCCTTATTGCGATACGACGACGATATTAGTAATCCTCTAATTCGCGTCTGCCTCCGAGTCTTAATACACGGCTGTGTAAAATGAACGATGTTTCAAGGAAGACTGGACCAATGCGGCACTGTTCGTTTCGTTATACAGGGATTCCCTGGAGGTCACGTATACCCGCAAATAGCCAGCGGTCCTCTTAAGGTGGGATTTCCTACCTGCGACAGAGGAGACTTGTAAGTACCAGTTCTGTCGTATCCGACTAGACACACCAACGTGTGTCATGTGTATAAAAAAATAAAAAAAAAAAAAAAAAAAAAAAAACAAGATTTCAGTTAGCCATAATTATTCAACCACAAACACGGAATTTCTAATATTACGTATGTATATTTCATCACTGGCTGATTAAGCGTAGAAGTAGTCACGGATAAAAAATTCCACTTCGTTATTTCCTCACCTAATTGTTCTTCCCCTTCTTGCGTCGCAAGCTCTCTTCGTCGTAACGCGTTTTTACCACGTTCGTCAGGCGGAACGAATTTCGTAAACGTTCACCAAAACGTACGTGCTGAAAACGCTTATGTACGTACATAAGTAAAACGTTTAATGCTTTCACGGTCAAGATAAACATCGCTTTTGCACGTAATTTGCTTAGGAACAGTTTGAATTCAAATCTGCACACACACACACACACACACACATGCCGTACCACACGTGTATTATCGTCCATCGAGGATGCGTACAAACGTGCGCGTGAAATCGACACATAACCTTATCTTGGAGAAATTGTCGACTTTTGCCTGAAATGACGGAATATATACAAGGGACATGTTTGTCAATGTGTCCGGAGAAAGAACGTTGGGTGTTGGTATACAGTTTATTTGCTTTCGTTTTATTACATTTCAAATGTGCATAACGATATTTGCAGCAGAGAAAAAAATGGTTTGCTACATACGTTCGAGATCAACGAGGAGGAGGAGGAGGAGGAGGGCACGAAAGGATCGAAATTCCCAAAGGCGGATCCGACGAAAACTGTAAAATGTTTCAACCGTCCAGCAGCAGGATTAGTTACGACCGACCCGAACCAATTACGCCCTGCGCCGGTTCTACTGTCCACCGTTAGATATTTGTTTACCAAGTACGCACAAGTCGATCAACCGTTCCCTTCTTCCATCGATACACGCGTATCGTGTTTTTCAGGATAGCTACGCGAACGGACGTCGATTGGACAGTGGCGTACGATTTCATCTTCGACCGTTTGAGATGTGTAAGGCAAGACGTTGCGATTCAACGAATCGACACTCTTACGAGCATTCGTCTGTTCGAACCTATTGTTCGATTTCTCGTCTATTCCGCGCAAAGGTACAGTAGTAGTAGTAGTAGTAGACATATTAACAGAAAATAGATCAGGAGAGAGAGGAAAAAAAAACAATTGCAGATTGTGCGAACGAAATATATCGGAATTTAACGGAAAAATCAACGACCAACACCTTGCCGAATGCACGACGCACTTGCTCGTCTTATATGACGAATCAGAGAAGGAGGAGGAGGAACTCGAGCGAGCTGTGGAGAAGCTAAGGTTGAACAACAACAATCGTCAACAAATGGAAGCGTTGTATATTCTGTCAAACATGGGTAACACCGAAGCTTTAACAAGGGCATTGCAGCTTCCTCTCGATATACGGTACGAACGAAACTTACAGTACTCGTTTTAGTTATCGCTACTACTACTACTACTACTACTACTACTACTACTACTAGTTATCGTTTACCTAGGAGATCCCCGGACGTTCAACTATCGATGAAAATATCGTTGGCTTGGTATCTGAAAAATTACGCACGCGTTTGCTCTTCGATTCCACAACTTTCTCCCATACTTGTTTGCGCAGCTATGACCAATATACAAAAATTAAGAAGGTACGTCAGTCCAGATACGTGTGCCGATAACAACCACCTGATGATTATCGAAACATTCCAGGGCAGCGTTGAAAATCATGAGTTCAGGATACAACAGTAAAGTCTTAACATTCCCAGGACTTAAATTGCAAGAACTGTTATTGTACAACGAGATAGAGAGAGTTCGGGCGGACTGTACGCTGTTCGGTCTTGCATTCGTCGAGGAAAATGTTTCATTTCAAAAAGCAAATTTCAAAGACCAAGTTGAACTAGCACACCCACAAATGTATTACACACGTCACTTTTTACACGATCTTTTGCCACGCATTTTACTCGAATCGAATCGAATATAAAATAAAGAACGACAACAACGTTCACTGCGAATCACTGGAAGAACTACTCGAAGAATCCGTGGACATAACTTCGACGTCTTCTGTTTCCTGCTTATGGGTATTCATGGCGACGCTTCCTTGTCCACTCACCGACATGTGAATTTCACCGGACGGATGCCAGGCGAATTGATTAGCCTGAGACGATACAGGTGGTTCTGAAAAATAACCAGGGGATGGAGATATAACCAAGGGAAATTTCCACGAACGTACCACCAACCGGATGTCCAGTCCTGTGTAAGTCGGACGATATTCCAGGATGAGTGCCTGGCATTTGTCCGTTGAGAGGAAGATCGCTCAATCGTCCGAGATATCCTAATCTCATTTCAATATCTACAACGGGGGAAGGTTTACACGCATTGCATCGGAAAATGGAATAGAGGGTAGAACATATTTACCGGTAGGGTAAGGCCTTCTAGGGTCTCCTTGTTGCCACGTAAGGGGAGCACAGATAGCATTCGACGCGCTTATTCTATGCGCATATTTGATCAGTTCCTCCGAGGGAACAGGTCTTTTATTGGCACGAGCGATAGATTGCAACTTTTGTTTCGCTTGATAAATTGCCGTAGCTAAAATTTGTTCCGCTTCCTTCAATTGTCTCTGTAATTGTTGAATATCCTGATCTTGCCTCTCAACTTCAGCTCTCAAGGCTTCCATCTTTAAATTGATTTTCGCTTGCTCAGCTGCACGCTTCAAAGTTACTTTCAATTCGTTGTCCTTGACGATCAATAATTCTGTTAGTTGAGCGTGTTCTTCGTTGGACAATTTCAAAGGCTTTTGAGCTATCGTATTTTCTATCATTTCTCTGCAAAAACAAAACACGGTACAGATAGGAACGCGAAAAACGATATTCGTAGTTGCAGTCTTACTTGGCTACTAATTCAACGTCATCGACGAGGGATAACAGAACTTCTCTCGTGCTTTTACCCGACGATGCCATGATTTACGACCGTTAACCTCCAAAGTTTAATAGCAACGCAGCAGTTGCGACGATAATTTCCCTACGACGTCGACAAACAGATGGCGTGCAAGCCTCTTCAAAGCTTCGATCGATGCGCACAGCGAGACATTTTAAATTTCACGTAGGTGGATTTTTTTTTCTTTTTATATGCGTACGATGCTAATATACTAAATATACCAAAGTTGGAAGATAAGAACGCCGATAAATAACCGTGTCGGCAATATGAGAATATTTTTCTAAAAAATAAACCGGAAAAGGGTTGAATCACAGTTGATACGAAATAATCGGTTGATAAAGTAATCGATAATTGAATCTTACGTCGATCGAATCTTCATCGATAAGACCTCGCAAATATGCTTATAAAAGAAACTAATTCGCAACTCGGAGAGACAAACACTGGGGAATATTTTTCTAAAAAAAAAACTAATCCAATTCGGAAGGACAAACCCTAGGGAATATGTTTCTAAAAAAAAAAAACTAACACAATTCGGAAGGACAAACCCTAGGGAATATGAACGTCGGAAATATGTTAATAAAAAAAAACTAACCCGAAAATAAAAAATTGTCGGAATGTCGCTGATATGTTTAAAAAAAAATTGACCTTCCCAGAACTGACTTATCCCGAACTGACTTCAGCGTCCTTGAATGGACTGGTTGTTTCCGAAAATTCGAATCAATGTACCTATTTTTTTGAAAAAGGGAAACGAAAGCTCTTTTTTCAAAGAATTCAAACGGAATATATCGCTGATAACTCCTCGATGTATCGACGAATTTGCGAACGTCTATTCGATCGAACCCTTTCGTTTTATCCGTCACGTCTCGATCGTATTACTTGCTGCGTAACTCCCAACAGGTTACCTATCACGACGATTCGCTGAACAATTGTACGCCAAAAAGTAACACCGCGTGGAGGTGTATTTATTTTAATATATAAATTATCTGTACAGTGATTCTAATAATCCATATTAGTATGTAATTTGAACTCAAATATTTGAATTACACATCTGTCAGGGGAATTAGAGTGTACTTTTATCTAAACCAATCAATTTAACCCTCTATGGGCCCGTGTAACTTTCAAGTCACATACTAATATATCAATATTTTATTAAATAATTGAACTTTCTTCCACAAAATGGCATAAACGTCTTGTTGTACAATGTCTCCTTATTAACTTTCTTGATAACCGTTGTTACTTCAAAGTTACAATATGTATTCGTTATGATAGAATTGTCGAAACTGCTGAATTCACTGTTATTCTGCCTTTATAGGTCGACATTTGCTAATTTCACGTTACATAAATTCTTTTACAGTCAAGAGAAATATTCGGCCCATAGAGGGTTAAGTGAAATTTTGTTAGAGTAAATTTAAATTACAGATCCGGAAAAAGAACGGAAGCCCACCTCGTGCCCTCTACCTGTACCTGCGCAGACTTACGCAGAAACAATTGACATTTTAAATTGGACGTACAGATAGGGAAGAAAAGGACAATTCGTAC